TTTGAAATGTTTACCTCATCACAATAATGCCTTTAAACTGTTGTACACCTACTTCAACATTGAACCCCTGTTTGAACCACATTAAAATTTTCATTCTCATTCTTCTATTCATTTTTAATCACACATTCTTCAATAAAATAATATTTTTCATCACATAATAACGTTTCTTTCTTTTTCAACTACACATTTTCCATCAATCTATTATTCCAAAATACATTCTTCTAAAATAATGTGGCTCAAATACACCCTAGGATTTTAGTGGAAAATCCCTTCACAATAAAAAATGAAAAAAAAAGTATGGCCTTGGCTGGGTTGAGCGGGGCAAGTCGCACTAACCTATCTCACGGATTAGACTAGCATGGTTTAAACTTGCTCATTTTAACACGAATACTCATACTCGAATCATAGTACAAGGGGTATTACTTTTTGGAAGGATGCTAAGTATGAACCATTTCTTGAACCAAGAAAGTCTGCCTTTGGCATCTATTGCCTCCACCACCCACCACCATCACAAGGATGGATGGAGGAGAAAAGTACAATCTCAAAAGACTTGTGGAATCAAAGAGGGTGACAATCACCATCATCAATAAAGGAATAAATCTTTTTCTATAAAAGAATCATTTTTAGGACATAAAATACATTCTTAAGTTATAATGGTGGCCATGATTTAGGGTTTAATGGAGGAAGAACTTAAAAATTCTCAATGACATGATTCTTGGTTGAATTTCAAATTTGGAAGACAAGTTCGAATTTAATTTTTTACTAATCTTCGTCTCTATGAAAGTTGATGAATTGTGACTAAAGTCATGTATTTTAATAAAGGCTAACTATAAATTTGGCGTATTTGATCTTAATCGTGATATTTCTTTTTTCCACAACATGCTTTAAAACGGATTATCTTCACAAATTCAAACTATGGATGCCAAAAAGGTTTTCCGTCCATTTATTGAGTTGTAAAATCTTTGAATTTTTTGAACTCTTACTCTAGAAATGAAATATTATATTAATACGAGTTCAATCTATGTTACAAAGTTCAAAACTTTGAGTTCAATAAAATTCTAAAAACTCTCACATTTTATATATGTCATGAATTCTTATGAAATATCTTATAAATGTCCTAAAATATGGTAAATAATAATCAAAACTAATAGAGATCTTTCCAGTCGTGAAAAATATTATATCATAAGAAAAGGAAAATACGGGCAAAGATCCTTCTAGTTTTGATTGCACATATAGAAGAATGGTAACATATTGTTCCATAGAGCTAATGTTCAAAATATGAAAGGGAGAAGTGTTTTCACGACTCCACCACCCAATAATATACATTTATCTGACTTTTCTTGGATTATGCTGATAGCCCAAGAATAATTAATCAAGAGATGGTGAATTGATTTTTAATTTTTTTTTTCAAAAAATAGAGATAAATCAACCAAATTAAGAACACATTGAAATAAAAGCAAATAGATCAATCAAATATAAATATAAATGAAATAATTATAAGTAAAAGGGTAAAGAGAATGCAAACGATATAATTGTACATGTTCGATCCAAATCAATGATTTACATCATGTCTTAAAAAGCTCTCTAACCCCAAAAGGAAGATATTTTCACTATATTCATTGATTTATAGTACAATTCAAATTTTTACAATGCTTTCACCGACTTACAAATAAGGAGTACAAATCCTTATACAATATTGAGTTTTACAAGATATCAATATGACCCATACTACTGAACTTTAAGGAACCTCAATATAACCCATAAATTTAAAAATGAATGATTTTACAATTTGAAACTTTTTTCTTAATAAATAATATACACAAATTAAGTACAAAGAGAAAAATAGGCTATCACTTTAATGAATAGTAATGAATGAATCTCAAATGTTAGATGAGATAACTTCGATGAAAAATATGATTTTCAAAAGTTGATTCAATCAATCAATAGTCTTCAAAGTAAATGTTTGAAGAATTAAATAAAATGTAACCTCAAAGAGTTTTGCTCAAACATTTTTTACTTCAATGCTCTTAAAAAATGTTATAATGAATGCAAGAATTAGAGGTATTTATAGAGTTCAAAATGTTAAAAAATCTGTAGGCTCGATGACTCATCCGGTTGACCGTCTTTTGTCCGGATGGCCAATGTAGTCGGTTGTTCAGTAAAAATCAGGGATAAGATATGTCAAATTTTGGACCGTTGGAAACTTCCGGTCAATCGCCTCTTCCGGCCGGTCAATTGCCCAACAATTTTGATTATTTTACATTTTGGTCCCTTTTGATCCGATTCGAAGGTTTTAAAAAGCATAAACTTTTGGAAAGTATTTTTAACTAACTTTTCAAGATAAAATATATTTTTCAAGTTCAAATATTATTTTAAAAGTTATTTTTATATTTGATCAAAACATTGCATTAAAATGATTTTTAATGTACAAAACGGTTTTTTAATGCATAGAAGGATTTTGAGTTTAAGTATTCATTACCAAATATCAAAATATTATTACCTCAGATAAACAAGATTAACTTATTTGTTATAATCAAAACTTTAAAATTATAATCAACCATAGGTCACCACTAACTACATGACCTAAATATGCTATATTTGGACATGTAAATCTAAGATAAGCCAAACTTCAAACCAGTTGTCAATAATGGTTAGGATTTTATAGGAGCACATTATCAACCGGAGTGAACTTGACATTAGTCTCAATAGGAGAAAAAGTAGTTTGGCCATCATCCAAACTAACTCGAGATATTGGATCTCATGCACGTTTAACTTGGGAAAAGTAGTATCTACCATCGAAAGAGACCTCTAGTAGGGCTTAACAAAAAAACTTTCAAATTGCAAAATCGAACAAAATCATTATTTTGGGTCAACTTGAACCCATCGAAGTTTGAGTTTGAGTCGAACCAAATCACTTATAAATGGTTTGATTTAGGTCTCAATACTTAAAAACCTTTTCAAATTAAAATGCCCCATTACAATTTTTTTTTAAAAAATTCCACTTAGTTAAAAACATATCATTCTAGCAAAAGAAATATGATTCGTTAGCTCAATCAAAATTCATTATTCACTATATGATCAAAATTGTTTAGGCTAGTAGTGAGTAGAATGAGGCTACCATTGTATTGATATAGTTGAATTTTGTTAACTATTTTTTTTTTTAAAGTGAACTTTGTTAATTGTTACGGTTAAACTTCATATTACTTCTGTAGATTTATACGGTAATTTTTGTATTTGGAAAGTTTCAATTTAGGCATTGTATTAAGATTTTAGATCAATATATATGTAATATGTTTTAGTTTGTTTGAAAAGTGTTACTCTTATGTCACTAGGTAAATTGTGGTTCGAAAATTGAACAACAAAAAAATGATTTGATTTGAAAATAGGCCAACTGCCACCATATTGAACTGTGCTTGTCCCTAACCTCTAGTCTTAAGAAATAGCTAAGTAAGCGAAGATCTTTCACACCAAACTATTTATTGAGACACTATTTTTTACTTCATCATGAATACCTTGAAAGTCATCACTTGAAATAATCTTACCATCAACATAAAGGAGAATAAGAATATTGATAAGTATATTTTATACACTTATTCAGGCTCTAAAATATGGATATTTTGTGGTTTTTTTAAATGAAATTATAGTCTAATTTATTATATAATGTCTTATCAGGTGAAATTCGGTGAATGAAATTGGAATTGAAAGAAAGAAGCGGGAAATCGTCGAAGAGGGGCAATATTCAAAGTTTGGGGACTAAAGTGTAAATATTCAAAAGTTTTGTCCGACCTTGTGATAAAAATTCGAGAATGTTAAGGGTCAATTAGATGCAATTAGAAGTAAAAAATGACTGAAATATCTTCAAAATATTTTCACAAATCAATTTTCAACCGTACAAATATGTTCCAAATTTTTAGCCCAAGGTTAAGATCCATTTTTGACCTAATAAACGTTTAAATTGGGGAAAAAAAAAAAAAACTGTTAGACCCTATTTGATAGCACACATTTTTTTTCATTTTCCAACTTTTGTGGTGTTTGATAGGCAAAATTTTCTCCGGAAAATATTTTCCAACATTCTAAATTGTCAACATTTTTGAGGAAAATAAATTCTTGATATTTTGGTGGGTAAATATTTTTCAGGTTCTTTTTTGAAAATTGCGAAAAATTCTAGACACAATCAGTGGCGGATCCAGAAAACTGAGTGAGCTAGGGCAATCGTTCATTATTGACATCGTAATAGTAAATTTTTTTTATTAATATTTAATTAAATAATATTAAAAAATTTAATATATATATAAATATACTAAAACGTAAANCGAAAATGCGTTTTGGAAAACAAAAATTTTTTTTCTACGTAAAACACCAAAACGACTTTTTTTTTCATTTTGGTTGTTTTCAGGCAAACAGTTGAAAACACGGGAAACACATTTTTACTTCCTTCTCCATTTTCCCCATTTTTCACTTCCTTCCGCCGCGACCCACCGCATCCCACAGCCAAAATCGAAGCAAAACACCACCACCACCACAGCTCGCCACAGCCAAAATCACCACCAAAAATACCCACCGCATTCTACACCCGTTTTTGGTTGGTTTCTTTGATGGGTGTTCAGCAGCTCATTCTCCACTTTCGGCCCTCTCGATCTTTTTCCTCTACTCGTCCCAGGTTGGTGTTGATTATTCTTCTTTTAATTTCATTTCCCATGATTGTTGTTTGGCTAGCGATTCCTGTGATTTACTCTGCAATTATTTGGATTCAATTTCTGTATTTTTTCTGTTGCTTAACTTATTGGACAACTGAAACATCCATAAAAGACTCTTTGTAGTTGCGAAAATGAAGAAGATGCGATGAATTTGTAATATTTATACGTATATTTGTGTAATGAATGACACACTCTCTTATGCTTATGCCGATAATATTTTCTTTTTTTTTTGTTCCAATAAAATTGAGCAAAGTTATTGCTCAAAGACATATGTGAAATCGCACTCCAGGTGTTTGTGAAGATGTGTGAGCCAAATACATCTGTTAATTATATGGCTGTTTCTAAATGGATTACGTTAAGAAGTAAACTTGATTTTGTCCTTGCCAGCCCAGCTTACTTTGCTGCAGGTTATAATTTTTAGTGTTGTGATTATATGAGCATTTATCTCTCTTTCGTCTCTAAAAACTGGTTCTTTTTATTCAGCGGGACTCTACTGGACTGACTAGCCACAACAGTGAGCTGAAATTTCGCCTGCAAGCTATGGAACAACAAGCTCAACTCCGGGATGGTATACCTTTTTTACTTTCTCTGTACCATTTCATTTGCTAGTTGTAATATGCTGAGAGACATCTTCTGCTACCAAGTAGCATAAGCATTACGATCATTTTTTAAATGATCTCATGCATAATTATGGTTGTTATAGCGCACATACCTTTAATTGGGAATTCTATGAATAAAAATGGGCAATTATATTCTACTCTTTGGTGCTGGCATGTGTACTCGAGTTTCATAATTTGCTGCTTCTTGTTTGGACATTGATGCCACAACTTGGAAAATGAAAGGATTGTGCCCTTGTTAGTTTTAATGATGGCCAGGTCCCATTAGCTGTTCATGGATCCTTTTCTGCTTGGAATTTTCAAGGAAATGATGAACATCGAGAAAAAAGATACGAGTTCGAGAATCTGTGTGCGATTTATGTTGCCTTTTTCAGTGGAAGGATTTGTGAAGGGATTGTCAGGGTTGATAATTATTTAATCCATTGCAATAATTGGCAGCAATTGTTTGTAGGGCTTTTAAAATGTTTTATAAAGAATCTAATTTTGAAGTGTTCTCATGAAAATGATCTGGTTATTGGGATTGTACATTGAGCTTCATTCCTCTTCATTGTTAGTTTAGGCTTATCAGATCAATTTTCTTATTTCAGATGATATGAATATCTTGAAAGGTCACTTATTTATTTGCAGGTCTCAAATGTGATTTATGATATTCCTTATGCGCTTTCTTTGATTATTTTGGTTTTCTTGTGACAGCACTTAATAAAGCTTTAACAGCCGGGGTGCAACGTTTGAAGCTTGCATCTGCTGAACTTAGCGGAGATCCTTCCAAGTTTCAACAGCTTTCTATTAATTCCCAGCAGTCCCAGCAGTTCCAGTTATGCCAACAGCAGGCAACTCGACAGAACATACAACAGCAGATGGCTATTTTGCTCCAGTGAACACGTGATTGTTGTTCATTTTATGATGCAGAGACATTTTTGTTGTCCATGAGGCCACAGAGTAATACAAGAGGGGAAGTGCAACGACCGGAACAACCATTTGAATTTCAGTTCATGCCCCCCACAATGCTGCAGAATTTGTGAACTATGCTCCTCTGCTTAATGAGCCAGCTTTGCAGATGCCAAGAATAAGTACATAACTTGAATCCTTAGTGGAAGATTTGCACCACCTAAAAAATGCAGAATTCAGCGACTCAGATTTGTCGTACAAGATAGTTGTATTTTTGTTTTTGTGTCGAGAAGCTGAAACTATCAATGTAAATTAGTTCCACTTTCCTGGTGGCTTTTTACTGATGATGTAAGACTTATAACTGATGTTTTAATGGATTTTCAATTGAATGTATCAATTGATATGTACTGGTGAATTCTTTGCTCATGTTTTTGTATTGATGTTCTCATTCATGTATTAAGGCTTTGGATGAACTGGAAAAACCATTAAACTTATACATAAATCAAAAACTTTTTCTTGTTTTTTAACAATACATTCTCTCAATTATATTAACATTAAACTATTAAAATTAATTGAATAACCAGATTTCTTGAATAAAATATTATTAAAAAAACTTCTCAAAATTTCAAAGTAAACGCGTTTTCTAATTTTCTGTTTTCAGAAATAGTTTTCCAGAATGACAAAAAGAACGCATTTTCAGTAATTTCAAAACAGACACTCAAAACACAAA